GGACGTGCAGACTCCCTTGGTCAAACCACATCATTTCGCTCATGGGCTATAAGACCCAATAAGGGTTTTAAAACCCTATTTTTTCATTTTATTTACCTCTCTCAGCCACTCTCCTCTCTCTCTCTATACTCTCCCTTTTCCCTCTTGCCTCCTCACCACCAAGAAGAACAGAGCACCAAGGGCTCCCTGGCTACCGTAGATCGGTGGCCACAGGGAGCAGACAAACCCCCAAAGACCTCAGTTCTTCTTACCCTCTGTTACCCATGGTTCAACCGAGCCTCATAAGGCTCGAAAAACACTACAGACACCTCCCTGGGCTACAAAACATCTCCTCAACCGTGACTCCGATAAAGACACTAGAAAGGTAAGATCTTCCCCTCCCCTTTTTCTATTTATTCTTGTCTCGAATATAATTTTTTTCCTCTGTTTTTTCGTTTTCCCGAATGGGTTCCTCACCGAATTCTGGTTGCCTGTTATATCTGGTAATGGGTTCGGGTAGATAATGATGATATCTAAGGAATAGGGAAATTGATTTTTGATTCTTGGGGTAGACTGAATCCCGTAAAAATTAGGATTTAGGGTATTTTAATTTAGGGTTTAGATTTAATGAGATATGGATTGATTTTTGACTGCTTTGGTTTCTGCTTTGCACTATTCGACCACTGTTGATGACGAAGGTGGCTCGAGGACTCACCAGCGATAGCACATGCGACTGAAGAGGCTCTTGGTGAGGCATACGTGCTGGTGGAAAGACACACGCTTCGTTGATGGACGCTTGAGCTAACAGTGATGGCTGGATTATGATTGAATCCCATGCCGATTCGGGTCCCCTTCAGGTCGGGTTTCAACTTGTTGGATCCGGGTCTTGGTGTTGTAATCTGGGTTGCTTACTAGGCCTTGGGCCTGGGCTGGAACAAGGTGATGGGATGCTGAATGATTGTTGGGATTTTTTAGTGGCCTTGTTATTGGGGTAATTGTTGTAATTTGATTGGGCTTCAAGGCCTGCACAAAATATGTAACAATAAATAATAATAATAATAATAATAAATAATGATATATAATAATTAAAAAAATTAAATAAAAAAGAAAGACCCGAACAAAAACGGGTGTCTACAGTTGCTCCTATTTACACATTCTTGTGTTAACAAGAATAGGGCAAAGATGACAAGACAACACGTTTTTGTCTGGTTCTCTCACTTTTATGCTTAGAAATTGGACAATGTTGGTTGTTGGAGATGACACTACTCATACGCGATGAAGAGGTCTTCGTCTAAGGGTGACACGGCTCCTATGTGATGAGGAGATCTGGCCGGGGGATGACACTGCTCATACTTGATGAAGAGTTCTTGGCCATCTTTAGGAACGATAACACAGTTCCTATGCGATGAGGATGACTGGTTATTTAGGGGTGACACGACTCTTACATGATGAGGAGATCTGGTCGGGGGATGACACGACTCATATGTGATGAAGAGTTCTTGGCTATCTTTAGGAAGGGTGATAATATGGTTCCTACGCGATGAGGATGGCTGGTTATCTAGGGGTGACACGACTCCTATGTGATAAGGAGGTCTGGTCGGTGGATGACACGACTCATACATGATGAAGAGTTCTGGCCATCTTTAGGAATGATAACACGGTTCCTACGTGATAAGGACGGTTGGTTATCTAAGGTTGACACGGCTCCTACGTGATGAGGAGGTCTGGTCAAGAGACGAAACTGTTCCTACGTGATGAGGACGGCTAACCATATTTAGGGATTATGGTTTCAAGAGAAACCGACCCAAAGATTTGTTTCAAAAGAAACAGACTCAAAGATTTCTTTCAAAAGCAACTGTCTCAAAAGAGATAAAACTCGTTTCAAGGGAAACGACTCAAAGATGACGTTTAAAGAAAACTGTCTCAAACGAGACAAAATTTATTTTTAAGGGAAACATTCTCAAAGATCGGTGTTTCATGGGAAACTATCTCAAATGAGAGAAAATTCGTTTCAAGAGAAACGATTTCAAAGATGTTTATTTTGTTTCAAGGGAAACAGACTCAAAGATGATAAATTTTGTTTCCAAATAAACAGACTCAAAGATTTTTCTCAAAAGAAACTGTCTCAAGTGAGATTAACTTTTGTTTCAAGTACAACAAATTTAAATTTGTATCTCAGAGAAAAAATGTCTCAAGCGAGACGAAATTTATTTTGAGAGGAATTGTCTCAAGCAAGACAAAAATTTGTTTTAAAATTCTCAAAATTTGTGGAAAAATGTATCAAGCGAGACAAATTTTGTTTCAATAAAACACCCTCAAAGGTGATAGATAGTCTGCTTGTTCCTGCATGTTGAGGAAAATCATTGCTTCTTCAAGTTAGAGACATCTAGTCATTTCCGAGCGTTGATTTCCTGAGAGATCAAAATGATGTATTTATGAATGCCTAATCTTTGATGTTATGATGTCATGATGAAGTTTATTCGATTTTTATTGAATTTGTCCTCAAGTGAGGAGGAAACTGTCTTTAATGCACATGATGATAAATGTTTGATGCAAAGATGCAAACTCATGTAACATGCATGTATGTGTTGATGTATGTATATGTTGATCTCAATGTGTACGGAGAATGGTTGTGAGAGCAATCTTCACTCTATCATTGATTCAGTTTGTCTTCATTTCTATCAGGATGTACTCTTGCAAACCTCAACCTGAGATAATTTATTTTCTTTGCCCTATCAAATTTTGCCCCAAAAATTTGTCTTCTCTTGCCCCAGCTGCATTCCTTGGACGAGGAGATGACTTTTGGCTGTTCGGTCCCAGCAACTCACCTAACAACAAATTCTTTACCCCATCAATCTAAACACTATCAACTCAAGCAAGTTGCTCCATCTTGTTTATTCAAATAAACATGTTATTAAATGCAAAATAAAACTTCATTTTTCTTTTCTTTTTGCAATGGCATAATACCCAAAAAAAAATCTCTAATGTTTACATAAATTATCATTTTAACTTCTATTCTCTTTTTAAAAAAATATTTTAATCTCCAATGTTTTATTTTAAGTTAAAAGGATCTCCTCGTAGATTTTTTTTTACAACAACCGATATCTGATTTTTATTGATCAACTATTTTAGATATGTACTATATGGGTAAAAGCGACCCTCTCAACTTAATTTACTCCATTCACAAATGTTACGATTCAAATTTATGATCTTGCTAAAGTGATCTAGTGTCTCATCCTATTAAACAAACTAGGTGTTGATATATTTTCAGTTATTTTGATTAGCTGATTGATTCCGAATCAAATTAATTGTTAATTGAATAGTCACAAATTTAATCGTTTTTTTTACTAAACTAATTTTGATTGCCAACCGTTTAACTGAACTAGTTCGTTTTCAACGGTTAACTTGATTAAAATAAAAAAAGTGAACACCCCTATACAAACTTAGAATATTTACAATTGGTGTTAATGATAAAAAAATGTAATTATTTTTAGATAAATTTGATTCAAACAAATATTTTTAGTTGAATTGCATCTATGTATTCCAAACTCAAAATAAAGAAGCCTGTACACAAAGAGCAAAACACTCACAAACCACTATACAATTAAATCCTAACCTGCACAAACAGAACTATGCTTAAGCAACTGTCGTTGCTTCACCCTTACCTTTCAGTTTCAGCTTACCACCTCCCAAACCCTCTTGAAGATCACCTCCACAGAGGACTCAGTTTGACCAAATAACCTGCTATTTCTTTCCTTCCAAAGCATGTAAATGCAACTGTTCCAGGCAAGTTTCAAAATCAATGCCGGAAGAGAACGACCCTTCCAAGCGCTACAAACCTAGTCCAACTCCTAACCCAACTCAAAATAGATTTGCGAACCCCACAAGCACTCAAAGAAGCAGCCCCCAATCGGTTTGAGAACTCACACTGGAAGAAGGGATGATCCCTCGATTACCCCCTCTCCTTTGCATAGCAAGCACATATCCTCCACGCTCAAGCCAAAAGATATCAATCGACACCTAGTTGGCAGCCTGTCAAGAGTAGCCATCCAAGCAACCATAGAGTTCCTACGGACATGCCCTGGGGGGCAAACAATCCTATCCCAAGGCACCTTTGACCCCTCTTTCCTCACAGCTTTCCAAATACTCGCAACAGAGCTAAAAGAAGGATGGACCAAATAAGACAAACGAGCAGTCAAGTCCCGATGATGCACATTAAGAATGGTTAAAAAATATTAAAATTCACTTTCGACGTGCAGAAACAAAGCAGTTCATATGTTGTAATTTTTAGTGTCATGACAATATACTGTAATTGGTAGTTTTCTTAATATTGAAATTTATTTAATATATTATTAGTTAAATCTAAATTTCCATTTAATAGGATCATGCACATTCTATTAAGATAATAAACAAGATCAATGTAAAAAAGGAAAATATATTTCAATGATTTATTTTTAAGAAAAAAGTCTGATATGATTTTAGAAGTTAATAAAATTTTATTTTTTTAAATAAAAAATAAAAAAATATTTTTGTAATATATTTTTAAAAAATATTAATTAACTTTAATTTGACAAACATTTTTATTGATTTAATATATAAGATGACGTAAAATCAAAACTTCAATCTGTGAGTAAAAAGAGATACGGTATTATATATATTATTCAAATAAATATTTTTTTAAATAAATATGTTTTTATTTAATAAAATATGGGCCATTTCTAAATTAAAAGGCCTTATTACAACAAACTGGCCCGACTTTAAAAGCTTTTTATTCTAGGGTTTCGGCGTGACCCACCCCACAGAATGCACATATACAAACCATATTTTTCCCTACTTCCACTCCAATTCTATTTCGCTTCCAAAATTCTTACTTCACTAGCTCAGGTGTGTGAATAGTAAAATCCTACCCTGATAATAGTTATTTCTCTCTTGATACTATAAAGCAAGCAAAATCAAAGCAGACATACATGCCTTTTCTTGGCTTTTTCACAAAAGTTTTTAACCCTTACTGCTCACTTTTGCAAACTTCCTTGGTCTCTATCTGCAACTGTCAATCTTTCTCAATCTTCCCAAAAAAACCTTCACTGTTGAAAGCCCACCCAAAGCCTTGATCTTAAATAAAACACTTCCCTTTAGTGACTAAAAGATTACTCTTTTTGTTATTACGAATTGGATTGATTATACTGACTGGGTTTTTTCTTCTTCTTGTGGTTGTTTTGATTTGTTGGAGGTTTTGGTGTCTGGTTGCTGATAGAGATTATTATGGTAATGGCTGATAATGAGGCAGGGGATGATCATAACGAGGTCAAGTCACCGTGGAAGACTCCCGTAACTGATGGGAGAAAGTGGCTGATGCTCCTGTTATGGGTACCCAATCTTGGCCTGACCTTAGTGGGACACACCAAACACCTGAAAATCCTCAGGCTGCTGCTGATGAGTGTGCTCCAGCAGCTCCACACCCATCAGTAGAGCAGGTTTGTCATTGCTCTTTTGGTTATGGGGTTTTCTTCAATTGGTGATTCATGATTGATCTCTTTTTATTTGGATTCTTTTGATAATCTTTAGGTGTACTTTGTGTTTGTTTTGGTAAACTTAGTGTGTCATGTGGAATTATTAGTTTTAAATATGTTTCAGCTAAAAAAACCATTTCAAATGGACAATTTGAGAGACCAGGTTTCAGCCTCTTTTACTAGTTAATTTTATTTGAATATCAATTTATCTCCAAATCCATCAGTAGGGCAGGTCAGTCATTGCATTTTTTTGAATGGGTTTATCCTTAACCGGCGATAAATCACTTTTTTTAGTATAAATTTGAGTAAATTTGAATATCTTGAGGTGTAATTTGAGTTTGTTTGCATAAACTAATGCGACATGTGGAATTATTAGTTTGTAATGTGGTTTCAATAAAAACATTTCAAATGGGAAACTTGAAAGACCACGTTTTTAGTCTTCTTTAACTTGTAAGTTTGCTTGAACATCAGTTTCTTAAGTTTCTTTGACAATTTTATGCCAATTAAATGTTTACTAAGCTATATTGACACCCCTTTCATGACCCTCATCTTCTTTGACACGCTAAAAGGATGATGGTGGAGTTTTCTCGTATTAGGAAAATTTGAAATATAATTTCAGATGGGTGTTTTTAATGAACCTTTATGGAATATAACTTCACTGTGAAGAAATCCGCACATCATTCAGCCATCTCCGACCCTCAATCAATCTGGTTGTCTCCTTGTGCTCTTCTTTGCATTTGCTGTTACCATTATGTATGATTCTTTTGCAGGTTATCGTTTTAAGTGGGACATGGTTTATTATGTTGTTGCCAATATACTCTTTTTTAGTATTAAGAAGAAAAATTGTATTATTGTCTCAGCGTATCTTAATTTTAGTATTTTTTTTTGGGTCTTTAGAAAGAAGCTGGGCAGCCGAAATCAAATGGATCTGGACACACCAATTCTTCGTATAAACATTCATCAGCACATCATCAGAAGTCAGACTCTAAACGCAACCCTAATGCTGGACCTCGTTTTCCCGTACCTTTACCCTATTATCAACAACCGGTGCCAGCTGTTTTCCATCCTATGGTACCTACACCACACATTGCAGTTCCTGGACCTGGGTATGCTTACCACCCTGTCCCTGGTCCTTTCCCTGGTATTGAGCCTCAGTTGGTAAAATCCGGATCTGAGACAACAATGCAAGCCTTTGGTCCCCCGGTTCAAGGTCTTGATCCCAGCAGAAACATGCAGCTTCCTCCCCGAGGTGATCCCAATGCTCATCCTGCCAACATCTCTAATAGAAGACCCAACATGCAAGAACCTGGTGGCCATTTTAATCCTGGCTGGAATCATCAGCGAGCGTTTAATCCTAGAGAACCCTTTCCTATGCAGCCGGGTGTTGGACCAAGATCTTTTGCTAGACCTCCATTCTTCGGTCCAGCTCCAGGGTTCATGATTGGTCCAAGTTACCCAGGTAACAACTTAATCCCCGTGCCTTCATTTAAAACACTACAATATAATTTATTACTTCTTATTTGTTAAGTTTCATTACAACTTATATCTGCCAGCAAGGTAAGGCCTGCATTTCAGCCTCAGGTGCTGCTGCCTTTTGTTCTTGTTTGAGCTTTTGCTTTATATTGTGCCTTTAATAGAGTAAAGCCTTTTTCATTACAACTTCCAGGAGCTGTATGCTATGTGCCTATTGCTCCTCCAGGCTCTATAATGGGACCCCATCCTCCACGCTTTGTTCCATACCCTATAAATCCAGAGACTAATGTGCTCCCTCCAGAGATGGTAACTTTGAGAGCTAATATAGTGAAACAAATTGAGTATTATTTCAGGTTAGGAAGGCCTCTTTGCCTCTTATTTACTAATTTGATATACCTTTTTGTCTACATGGTTTTGTTTTCTTTGTACTCCATACTCTAGGTTTGTTTCTAAATTTGTCCACTTTTGCGTCTATCATTGCCATTATCAATGTTGGTATTTTCACCTTTTAAGTCTGATTGTGTACTCATGCTATTTATGAGGCCATTGAAGAACTAAAGTTTTTGTAAAAAACTGATGGTGTGGTATCCACTTCAGAAAATTTTCAGCCTATGACTTCATATCAATTATCTTTTAAATGTCATTAGATTTTTTGGCATAGCAATCATATTCTTAGACATTTGCTGCAAGTCTCGTGCACTGGTGTAATTGGCCCAAATAGAGAGGCCAAAAATATGAACTTTGATCGTTTTCATTAATGACTGCCATAAATTTAAGTGTTTTTTCAGTGATATATAATTTGCATTTGTCCGTATTACTTTTTTACTCCTTTATTTTATTTTATTATTTGCTTCTTTTTTTGCAGTGATGAAAATCTACAACATGACCATTACCTAATTTCCTTGATGGATGATGAAGGTTGGGTTCCAATCTCCACTATTGCAAACTTCAAAAGGGTATGTTAACTCTCTACTACTTGGCTTTTATTACAGATTATATGCTACTGCTGTTTTTGGGTTGGAGTTTTCTGTCTTATTCATGGCTGTCGCTTTATTAACTGATTGAATTAGGTTTTCTAATAGTTTTTTTTTCTTTTCTTTTCTTTCTAGCCTAAGAGCCGTTTGTTTAATGCTTTTGTGTGGTTTTCACTTTCTGAGTCACCGGTTAAGATTAGATTTTCTAATAGTTTTTCTTTTCTTCCTAGCCTAAGAGCTGTTAGTTTAATGCTTTTGTGTGGTTTTCACTTTCTGAGTCACAGGTTAAGAGAATGAGTACCGACATACAATTTATCATTGATGCGCTTCAGAGTTCTAGTGCCATAGAAGTGCAGGTTAGTCTTTGATTCTCTCTTTGGGTTCACTGTTTTGAAATCTTGAATTTTTACTAATGCATGCTAGTTGTGATCAGGCAACATGTTTAATTTTGAGCTCTGAATTTATGTACTTTTATCTTCTCCACATGGTTAGCCTTGATTTACCTTAAGGTTTAAATTGGCGGGATATGATTATGAACTGATGGTGTTGTTAGTGCTGGTATTTATACCTTAAGGTTTAAAGTGTGTGTTATCTCTTGTGTTTCAAGTGAATTTGAGGGGGCAGACTTGTGTTGACAATTTTTTATTGTTGTGTGGGTACATTGGCAAGTGGTACTGCTTTTTGATGCTATTCTTTGCCTCAATGGCCTTGTCTCTACTTGGTGATTGATATTATAGGGCAACAAGATACGAAGACGCGATGAGTGGTCCAAGTGGATCGGGGCTAGTTCAGCAACAACAGTGTCATCAGAAGCTCAGTTCACTCGGTACCAACCAAAAGAGAATACCGATTCCTGTGGAAATGTGAATGAAGATAATTCAATGGACACCTGCAAAGAAAACGATAAATATCCTTTGGATTGTGAGAGTTTCGATCATGCACCACTTGAGAGAAATCCTACGGCAGTAATGTATAAAAGTAACAGAAAACATGCAGCTGTGCAAGTGCAATTAGACGGTGAGAAATGAGCATTTTCTGGTGGAAATGGTAACTTGAACAGGAAATTAACCGTTGATTCCCACATTAAATTCTCAGATAATGATCAGTCACAAGGAATTTATTCCACAAGGTTCAATGACCACAAAAGTGAGAGTGTGGAATTATCATCAGATGTAACAACACAGAATGTTTCTGTCCTGTCAAATGATTTTGCGCATACATTTATGCTGGATGAAGAACTAGAGCTTGAGCAAAAAGCAACAAAGACTCTTTCAGCATTTAACAGGTATTGTTTTTGTATTTAATTGGCACATCTCCCTTATTGTCGAGCTAGGGAAATTTTCATTTCTGTATGAAGGCATATTTCAATGCTTCTAGAGCTAATAATGATCCCTAGAATATCTCAATGACATTTTTGTTTAGAATGGATGATGAAGAGGATGAGATGGTCAACGATCAGGATGTTCAGAGACTAGTGATTGTTACCCAGGTATTGTGGTACAGCTTCGTATGAATTCTTATTCAACCTTATCGTTATATTAAATGTTTAAAGATAGGTTCATTGGCTCAGCTGACTTTATGTTTTTACTTGTAGAAATTTTTAATACTTTGTCCAACTTTCATGACCTCTCAATAGTATCATATTGATTGTTTATGTCATGAGAGAAGATAAGAGTATCTGTCGTCCGACTTAACTTTGCTATCAATAGAAATCCAAATAAAAAAAGAATATATATATATATATATATAAGAAAGTTAACCCGTCTAAATCAGTTTTTTCACATGCATTGAATTTTTGAAGCATACACATGAATAATGTAATGCTTCCATTTTGTGAAGTTGAAGCATTTTAAACTTGATTCAAGAGGGATATTGTTCTTTCTCAGGTGAAATTTATGAATAACCTATTTTTCACATAGCAACGATTTAGAAATTTAGAGACTATTAGAGTGGATTCGACTCCACTCCACTTGACTTTTCTCCTCTTGCATCTCTTTCCTCCCAGTTTCTGCCTCGTATTTTAATCCTTAATTGGGATTGGTATGCCCTCTCTGATTGAGATTATGCCTGTAAGTATGCATTTTCTTTGGTAATATTTTACTCGTATGAAATGGTAGAATGGTTCTGTTTCCATCTTGATGGAACTTATCCTTTCTTCTGATGTGCAGAATACTGGGGCAGCTGAAGGATCAAAAGCTGGTGCAAAGGATTCAAACTCCATATCCAGTGAGCTGGCTGATGTGATAAATGATGGTCTTTACTTCTATGAACAGGTTAAGGCATTTCTATTTTTTGTCAAATTTTGTTATGGTACATATTAATAAACTTCTTTGGTGTTTCATTGCAAGCAGGAGCTGAAAACTAAACGATCTAGTCGTAGAAGGAATAATTCTACTTATGATCCAAAGTCTCCAAGGGGTGCGTTGGGAGTATCAAATCTGAAGAAGGGTGAAAATGCTGCTGGGAGCAGTACTTTTGAAGCATCTGGAGGATCAAGTTCACAAAGGAAGCAAAATAAAGGCTTCTCCAAGCAACAATCATTCCATAAGCAGAGATTTTTCTCCAGCAATATAAAGAATCATGGAACTAGCCGTAGTTCTATCGCAATAATATCAGAAAGTCCACCAAGTAATTCAGTTGGATATTTCTTTGGTTCTACTCCAGATACGAATGGGTTAGTTCTAAATGACCATTTCATCATTTTAAATTTCACAATTCGCAACTGCCTTATGTTCTTTTCCGTGGTTTCATTGCAACTTTTATTGCTTTTGAGTTCTAGAATACATGCTAGTTTCTACAGTTATTCTGAGCTAATGGATGTCTTTAAGTTTCAATTTTTACAGCCCTAGACAGCCTTCGAAGTTGAGCTGTTCACCACATGGGACTCTTTCAGGCAGTCCACCAGTTGGTTCCTTGCCTAAGTCATTCCCACCTTTTCAGCATCCAAGTCATCAGCTATTGGAAGAAAATGGTTTTAAACAACAGAAGTAAGGAATTGGTGGATTTTTTCCTGTCGTATATATGTATATGTATGTTTTTGCTTATACTTTTGCTGTTTGGCACAGTTCCACATAAATTATCATACTTTGAGAGTTTTGTTGCTAGAAAAAAATACTGTGGTTTGTGCTTGAGCTTCTCTGCGTGCACTTGTGCTTCCTCATAGGGTGACGGTGGGATGGAGAGAAATATCACTTGTGAAGAAGTTGGCTAATTCAGTTGTTTTTACTTTCAGGTACCTAAAGTTTCACAAGCGCTGCCTGAGTGACAGGAAGAAGTTAGGAATTGGCTGCAGTGAGGTCAACTTCATATCTGAACTTTCTTAGCTATTAAATAGCTGTTTTACCTTAAATGAAAAACTGTTTCCGTCTTCTATCGAATAATTGATTAAAATGTCTTGCATTCCTCTTGTTGAAATCTCTCTCTTTTCTTTTTTTTTTTTGGAAATATCATCTTGTTGAAATCTCAGTTACAAAGAGCCGGGTTGTTTGGTTCTTTCCACTTTTTCCCTCATTATGACTATTTGTAATAGAAGAAAATTGAATCACTGTGCCTGGACGGGGACTGAAGCCCTGAACTTGTTACTGTTAATGTTGATTTTTTCCTCTTCGATACATCTATGTATAGTCTAATAAACTGATTGGTATTTGTAATGCTTCACATCTGTTTGCACATGTTTCTTTCTAATTTTTCTAATGCTTACCATTATAACTCCAGCTAACAGATCATTTGCATGGATTTCTTCAGATTAGAAATATAACTTTTCCAATGGTTTTGCATGCAGGAAATGAATTCACTATACAGGTTTTGGTCATATTTCCTTAGGGACATGTTTGTCCCTTCTATGTATTACGAGTTCCGGAAACTCGCTCTCGAAGATGCGGCTGCTAATTACAATTACGGGATAGAGTGTCTTTTCAGATTTTATAGGTAATGTTGATAGGCTATTAGAATAAAGGAAGCAAACTATGCCCACTTTTTTGGGTGTTTGAAGCCAGCATTTCTGAAGTTTTGATTAATTTTTTTGCTGTTTTCTTTACTTTGCTTCTTTCTTTTCTACGCAAATGCTGATTAGGTTCTTCCTTTTTTCAGTTATGGTTTGGAGAAGCAATATCGAGACGATCTTTATAAGGATTTTGAGCAACTTACCCTTGATTTCTATCGTAAGGACAATCTGTATGGCCTCGAAAAATATTGGTAATTTCTTTTTTACCTGAACGCTTTGTTACCCTTTGTAATTATGTTCTTTGTAGAATTAACTTAGTTATGTGGAGATAAGATCTTTTGATGGAAGAATACTAGAATTCTTGCTTACAAATCTAAGGCTGCTTGTTGAACTATCCATATATGGCAGGGCATTCCATCACTTCAGAGACCAGAAAGAACCTATAAAGAAACATCCTGAACTGGATAGGTTGCTGAGGGAAGAATACCGACGGCTGGAGGATTTCCGTGCCAAAGAGAAGCATACCAGCACGAGAGAGGATCCCCATTAATTATGAGTGATGCCCTTGCTCCCTAGTGTCATCGAACCCCAATTTTGACGATCGACCCCGACGACCGGATCAAGAGTGTAGGAAGCATTCATGTTCTATAAAATATCATTTGGTTTTTGAATGCCGTGGAAAGATGGATTTTGTCTATTGTACATTGGAGGGGGTTGTACACGCGTTGCCGTTCGCGGCAGGCGATTCCCAAGGCTATCGATTTTTGTTTTCTTTGTGATATTCGTGTAGGCTTTGTGGCTTGGATGGTATATCATTTTTTTTTTCTCTCGAGTGATCTGCAAGCTTGCAGAGATGCCATGGCATGCCTGTGTTTTTCTTAGATCATCAACTTCTCCCTTGACACTGTTGTACATAAGGGAAACCGGACAACTTTCAAGTTTTAAGCCAAAAGAAGAAAAAACTGTAGAAAGTTGAACAATAAGAGATTTCATTTTTAATCCCTGAGTTTTGTCAACGTGTTTTCTGTGAGGTAGTAGGTTAATGATTTCACCATTATTTTTACCTCCTCTTCTTAAAACTGAAGGGATGAACTAATTAATTTATTTCTACTACTTAAGAATAAAATGCAAATGGACCCACTGTTTTATGCCTTGTCTTGTCCATACGACTTAACTTTGTACGCGAGTAAGATTAAACATTCTATTGAGTCAAGTTTATAAATTTTATTTTTTTTAATCAAATTGATTTCATAAAATTACGAACTAAATTAAATTTTTATTTAAATTTAATTATAAATATTATAATATCATGATGTCAATTGGTTATAATTTGAATGGTTTTTATAATTATGTACGATATACATTATATTTCATCATATTTTTTTATGCGTGTATATCATGCATAGATGAGAATTTTGACTCGAATTTAAAAATTAATTCACTAATTACTAAAATGGTTGAGTTAATCAACTTATTTTAGATATATTTTATAACTCAAAATTTAAATTTTTCTGAATCGATTCGAATTTATAAAATTACTCGTCGAGTTTTTAATGCCGAATTGAGTTGGAAATTTTTATTTTTTTTCCGAGTCACCCTTGATTAGAAAATTAAATCAGATTTTGAATATTTGAATTTATAAAACATATAAAATAATTTATTTGTTTTAAGAAATTGAAATTATTATTAAAATAAAAACTAGTGCTTAAGCTTATAATAAAAGTAATGCAGTCTATTTATCAAAAAAAAAAAAAAGTAAAGCAGTCAACTCAAAGGGCAAACTGCATAAATTCACATGAAATTCATTTTTCATAAAAACCAGCAAAAGGATAAGAGGTGCATGTTTCTCGCCGCCGTTTCCAAAGCCGATTCTACTTTACAAATTTGATCACACTAAAAAGTAGTAATAGATTCATTCTTTAAGAAACAAATAAAAGCTAACTTTTCTTCTTCTTCTTCTCCTTTTCCATATCACAAAAACCTAATCCCAAAAGTCATCCATGGCGGCACCGATCTGGGCATGGGCTTTTTGTTTAGCCATCACTTCGATTCCTTCTGTTTTCGGAAACTCTGAAGGCGATGCTCTTTATACCATGAGAAGAAGCCTAACGGACCCCGATAACGTGCTCCAGAGTTGGGATCCCACCCTTGTTAACCCTTGTACTTGGTTCCACATCACTTGCAATCAAGATAATCGAGTCACCAGAGTGTATGCCATTTTTCTCTTTCTATCTTTTGTTTTTTGGAAGATCTGGTCTTTTTTTTTTATTTTGGGTTCATTTATTTATACGGGTTCTATAAAGATTTTTTTTTTTATTTTTGAGAGAGCTTAGTTTCATTGTTTGGGTTTTTTGCTTTCTTTTTTTTGGAGGGAAGAAATGGTGGTTACAATTTTACTGCGAAACTGTTTAATTACCTGAGATTATAATTCTTCTTTTTTTGGGGTGATACTTGCTTGGTTTGATAACTGGTTTGGGTTCATTGAATTGCTTTTCTTTTAGTGGTTTATTTTGCGTAGTTATGGGCTTTTATGTAAATGTTTTGGTGGGAAACAAAAAGTGGATGAATTCACTGTAAAAACTGTTGGATAATATATAAGCGTGTGTTTTGCTTATAAACAGTTATCGAAGGAGGGTAAATATGGCGGTAAAAACCTGGATTATCATGTTTTTCTTAATGTTTTAGGGTTTATGTAGTGTTTTAATGCTTATATCTTTGTAAGGTTCGGGAATACAAGAATTATAATGCATAGGCTGTTATCAGCGTGCTTGAATTAAACAAAAAAAGTTGCAGAATTGACTCCATGAATAAGAAATATTTATGTATTATCTCCATTTGGAGCATTGGATCATATCTGAGTCTGTTACTTTGTTGAAGTTCCAGGTTTCTCTAGATGTGCTTATGGTCTGCATCTTCCTTTTGGAAGAACATGTTTAAAATTTGACATAAAAATGGTACACTAGTGTGCTTGATGGCTTTGAGTATACAATTTTGGTTGTAGTTTCCAAATTGTTAAATGGTATTATGAATGATTTTTCGATGCTACTCTCTTTTGGCTTATTTCCGTTCCCTTTTTACAGAGATTTAGGTAATTCAAACCTTTCCGGACGTTTGGTACCAGAGCTTGGGAGGCTACGGCACTTGCAATATCTGTATGTTCTACTTTTCTCTTGAACTTTTTTTTAACTCGCCCTTAATCTCTACATGTGTACAGATGTTTAACTTGTTGGATACTGCTGTTGATATTCAACCGTTTTTTTAAATTTCGGACTCATTTCTTTAATGCAGGGAGCTTTACAAAAATAACATCCAAGGAACCATCCCTACTGAACTTGGAAACTTGAAGAGCCTTATCAGTTTGGACCTATACAACAACAACATCTCCGGCACCATTCCTCATTCACTTGGGAAACTGAAGTCTCTAGTATTCTTGTGAGTGTTCAAGTCCATTGTTTGTCTCATCATGCAGGATTAGACTATTGTGAATCTTTTTATTTCTAGCTGCTGCCTTCCCTTGTGAGCTTGACTTGAAAAATCGACATGGATTATATAATAGATTATTTGGGACTTAACTAATCCATGATCATCTGATAATGTTTTGATCTATTCGTGTTCCTGGTTTCTTTTGTGCCACCATGATTATTCCATTCCTAGTTATCTCGTGCCACAAATTGGAATACTAGTCATTTTTCATTTCTTATTCTCTGCATATTGGTTCATGTATCATTGTAACATCTAATCACTGAACTTTGAACCTGGGGTTCAGCCCAAATGGTTCACCATCCTCCCTTAGGAGTTGGATTCCTGCAAGGCTAGATTTTGATCCTTAACACTTCTAAATTCTGCTACCCCAATTTCCCCTACGCCTTGGCCTCCTTTGTACCAAAAAAACTCCCATCGTTGACTCTCTCTCATTGTTGTTTCATTTTACAGGCGACTTAATGACAACAGACTAAATGGACCTATCCCTAGGGAACTTGTTGGGGTTTCAAGCCTCAAAGTTGTGTAAGTCTTGCAATTTTTTGGATAGTTTATTTTATAGAAAGCAATTCTGTGGTACTGTTTTGCAAAGCATTGAACTTACGGTTCTCAAAACATTTACCTCTTTTCTTCCAGTGATGTCTCAAACAATGATTTGTGTGGAACAATTCCTACCAGTGGACCATTTGAGCACATTCCTCTGAACAAGTGAGTTCACCCGTCTTTTTCTTTTATTTGCTTTAAATTTTTGATCAAGTTGCAGATCATGATTGTTCACATGGAATTTAGAAGTATCTGCAAGACTGCATGTTTTGATGCAATTATATACCTTTACGGAACCTCTGCTTTCTTCGAGTCTCAATAGATTCCATTCCATTTCCTTTGGGTGAACTTTACCTTGTTATTGACATTTCTTCTCACTTGTGCACCTATTCCTCATGTCATCCCCCACTCAAAGTTGTATTCTTGGGTTTTTTTTTTGCTTCTACTTAATTTTGTTCCCCATTTAAGTTTCATTTCTTTTGTTTTCTCGTATGCAAAGCCGCCGATCTTAATGTTGTTCCAAATTGTATAGTTTTGAGAAAAACCCTCGACTGGAAGGTCCAGAGTTGTTGGGGCTTGCTAGTTACGACACGAACTGCTCGTGAAGAAAAAATTGATGCCTGGAATTAGTTGTCTACTCACAAGATTTTGAGTGTATTATCACACTATAATGTTGTGGTTTGTGAAATGCAATCCTTGATATAAGTATGTGTAAATCAGAATTTATTAGCATTTGTAACTGAACTATGATGCTCTCTTCCTAAGGTGTTGTAAGACAAACTAGTATTTGATGTAATAGTAGCGACAAGTTTACTCCTGCTGTGCATCCTTAAAATCCATATCTTTTCATGTCAGTTCAGAATTTCTCTAGCATGCACCTCTCATCGTTTTTAACTAATTAGACGGCTCGAGTTGATTTTTCCGGTTAGTTTTTCAGGCGACGGTGGTACGTCTGATTTAAAATTTTGAGGTTTAGGAATTTAAAAGATTTAGATATTTTGAGTAATTTAGATATTTTAAGGGAGATTTCAGAAAATTAATGATTTTAGTTTCTTTAAATAAAATGAAAAGAAATTTTAAAAAAATATATTACGTATCAATTAGATAACAAATTTTCTTTAGTGATCATTAAATTTTAATTGAAGGTGATTTATGTCTACTTTAACTAATTTTTTAATATTTAAATCAAGTGGAAAGTATAATTTATTAACTTATATTTAATTAAATCATAAATAAGACGACCTTTAAAAAGAGAAGAATAGATTGCTTGAATAATGAGGTGATATAACATGGGATAAAGTGAAACCAATGCTATCAAGGCCTAAAATAATTGGGGGCTGCTGCCCTGTAAAATACACCTTGGCCAAATTCGATTTAGATCCATATTTCATACTCAAACTTAAAATTTTACCATTATAATTTAACTTAGTATAATTTTATAATTTACTCTTGATATAGACATAATTGTTCAAATATTATACTCTTAGAGAGGATTACACCTTATTTTACTAGTGAGGTCGCTTGATATATTCAATTCTTGTACGTTTTAAATTTAATATGCATTAGTAAAAAATATATTTAATATGCTAAAAATTAAAAGTATTAATGTGATTTTTTAAAATTCTCCTAATAATAATAAAAAAAACTTATGTTGCGATGACTAGTTGGATGATTTTTTTAAAGAAAAATATGCCAGTATCGTAATCGAAATAATTCAGTTTTAATCATTTAAAAAATTAAGAATTTTAAATCGGAAAATTTGATATAAAAAAGATTGAATTATGAATTTTAAAGTTAAAATATTTTTTTAGTATTTTAAGCATTAAAAATCTAAAAAATTATCAAAGAAAATACAAAGAGAGGGGCCAGTGGCTTGCTTTGGGTGGCCTCTTCTCCATGCGCCTAACTTAGATAAACTTATGTC